CGGTTCCCTAAAGCTTTTTAATAGGGAGTTTTAGTGAACCGTTTTTGCACATCCCATACGGTACTTGGGTCTTTCGGTACGCACTGCGCGTGCGCGACCGCAGAAGACTTGCACATGCGCACTTCGTGCCGTAGGGCCCATCGTACTGTATAAAAGGGGCTAAAAACGGTTCCCTAAAACTCCCTAGTAGGGAGTTTTAGGGAACCGTTTTGCACTTCCCATATAAACATGATGAAAAAACAGCCTCAGATAAACAGGGATGAAGAACGGGTAAAGACAACACAGGACAACGGCTGTTGTCCCATATGGTACTTGGGCCTTTTCTGTACGCCCTGCGCGTGCGCGACCGCAAAAGACTTGCGCATGCGCACTTCGTGCCGTAGAGCCCATCCTACCGTATCGGACGTGCAAAGACGGTTCCCTAAAACTTTCCAATAGGGAGTTTAAGGGAACCGTTTTGCACATCCCATACGGTGCAATGAGCCCTCCGATACGCACTGCGCATGCGCTACCAAAGAAGACTCGCGCATGCGCAGTTACTACCGGAGAGCCCATTTTGCCGTATCGGATGTGCAAAGACGGTTCCCTAAAACTTTCTATTATTCGATTTGAATCACCGAACTATGACCGGGTTTTTACGAATGCGATCGTACCGCATCGAGTCGAGCAGGGACCAATCACTCGTACCCCGTCGCTTTTGCTTCTTCCTCTTCTACACATCTAGGCACTACCAATCAAAATAGTCAAATTCTCGATGCGATGCGATACAATCACATCCATGTAAATGCAGCTAAGCTATACTTACCTTCTTAATTCAAAAATGTCGGTAAACCACTCTTCTGTCGGAAACTTGGTTCGAGGATTCCTTATAGCATCATTGCACAAAGGGCGCCATCAGAAAAGTAAGGGAAACATAGGTACGGTTACAAGTAATTTTAGCGCTTTTAAAAGTAATGGAATTACGCTTATGATTACTGTCCTATAAATGTATTAAAATCATTACAAACTATCTCTAAGAAAATTAAATTACAATAATTTTAATTCCTTGTATGGAGTACCGTACAAGTCTGCTAACTGCAGAGTAACTTGCTGACCGCATATTAACTGCCACCTTATTTGTGAATCTTTTGTTTACCGAATTGAAGTGGCGATGTGGACGGGCTGCTTTATGACAATGTTGACGAAGCAGCTTACGAAAACACGAAGACAAGCGAAAGTTGTAGAGACGAAAGCTTAACTAGCATCTGAAAATTTATATAAAAAAAGCCTAAGAACAGGAATTACCACACGCAAAAAAAAAAAAAAGACACACACAAAAAACAGTAAGAAACCAAATAGATTTTGGGTTACAAGAATCCCGATTCAGCAAGTGCTAAGATGCTCTAGCTGCATGCACAAGAAAGATGGAGTTTCTTAGTACTTGTATATTAAGAATGTATGTGGTCCGGGGCCTTTTTTGTTTGTTACTTTTTTTTTTGGAGCTAGAACTGGTGTTGCTGGGCTTTGTTTCTCCATAAACTTTAAGATATTAATTCAGCGTTCATCATTATTCTCATTTCGCTTTTCGTCGTGTTTTTTCTTGCGCTGTTTTGTTAACTTTTTTTTTATCGTTCTTCGTAACTGTAATTTTAAATGTAGAGTGACCACATTGAACATTACTCTTAACGCGAGTCGGAAAAGTGGGCACTTGCTTATAGAAGACTCAACATATCCCCGAATGTGCATTGAGGTAGTGGACTTTAGCTGATGAAAATTGAAGACAAAGGTTCTTTTTTGTAAAGAAACGTGACCAACAAGCTTGTCAAGGTCAACGGCGGACGTGTTCACAGACGACCGTTTTAGGGATGTTTGTAACGCGTGGCGCCATCTCACGACAGGCGCCGCGAGCGAAGGAATGCCGTCTGCTCGACGCTGACGACCGAGTGCCCCTCCTCTGCTGAGACCCGGTAAGTTTTTTTGATCCCCATTTGTGCGCAGAAAGAGAGCTATTTCTTAAAAATTCTGAAGGTAGAATCCGCCACCTTCATGCACATTCGTTGAAAGTTTGAGCTTTCTGCGTAGAGGTGCCGAATTTTCCGGCTCGTTTTACAGCACCAGATCCACTGCGGTCACCCTATAAAAGCCTGCATACTTCTCTCTCGCTCTCTATCTTCCCTACTTCTCGGCTCTTCCAAACACGATCATGTTAGCTCACCTCTCTCCATCTCTCTACCCTACCCGCTCACTTTCCTTCTCCCTCTCCTGTTCGACAAGAGCCGGATGTCGTCAGAGGGGGCACTCGGGCTCGCTTCCCGATTCCCTAAAGTCCACTCTAATTTGCGTAACTTCGCGAGCAATTAAGCCTGAACCTTCAGAACCTCCGAACGAAATCCGATTGGAGTGCGAAGCATAGCTCTGGACATCTGAGCGTGGTCGACGTCAAGTTTCCTCTCCTCCCCAATTCCCTCTTTCTCCCTCATTCGTTTCAGTGCGCCTGGCTTTCCTTTCCCGCGCCCCCCTTCGGTCCCCATTTCAAATCCCGGTTGTACCACTCCAAACTTGAATGACATGTCCGCGCCCCGTATTGCCGTGTTGGCATCGGGACTGTCCAAACGCGAGTCGACAAGATCGAATCCCCATTTTTTTGTGAAGGAACAGACGATCGCGTCTGGTCCAGGCTTGTACGAGGGCTATTAGGACTAATCGAATTACTGGCAGCCAATTAGTTCAGCTCTCTACCGAAAGGAAAACAAAAATAATTGTGTTATATGATTTGGCTGATAAAGATGTCATGACTTGCTTATACTGTAAAGTCGTATAAAAGTTCTTATATTGTGATGTATGATGTTTGATGTTTATTGGACGCATTCATAAATTATTCTTTTTTTTACTAGGTTATTAGCATTAGTTTCGCTTATATAATCAATTTTAAATAATTTGAGCACTATTTATTTCATTAATTATTTCCTACAGCTGCAGGAAGACTTCTGATAAATGCACGCAATTATAACTAATATGATTACTGGCCATTGATTACTCTGTACATGAGAAATCGTTTACTAATTATATTAGCACTAGTTGTTTAGTTACTTCTTTCCTAGTAGAAAGTGACACACTTCAGACGAGTATATTTAATTAAACGTATAATTAAAACAAGTAAATCGTGAGATACGTGACACAAGGAATAAATAACCTACTTAAACTGACCAAAAAAACAAAAAAAAAGTGAAAGCCGTTTACAAATCCCTGTAACGCCGAATTGGAGCGCAGCTCTTGAGGAGGAGGAGTGAAGGGTACTGAGGGGAGGGTAGACCCCTCCCCCTTCTCCTCCTCCTCCCCTCATTCTTTAATATGCTCCGGGGGGGTGTCACGTGACTTCGGGGAGGGGGTCACGTGACCTCGGGGAGGCGTGACCTGGGGGTGACCTCAAGGCCACGTGACCCCAAAGGTGACCCCCACGTGACCTTGGGGGTCACGTGACCTGGAGGGGTCACGTGACCTCGGGGGGTCACGTGACCTCAGAGGGGTCACGTGACCTCAGAGGGGTCACGTGACCTGGGGGTCACGTGGGGTCACGTGACCTTGAGATGACCTTGGAAGGGGTCACGTGACCTTGGGGGTCACGTGACCTCGGGAATCACGTGACCTTGGGGAGGCGACCACGTGACCTCGGGGGTCACGTGACCTCAGAGGGGTCACGTGACTTGGGGGTCACGTGACCTTCAAAGGGTCACGTGGGGTCATCTTGGGGTCACGTGACCTTGAGATGACCTTGGAAGGGGTCACGTGACCTCGAGGGGTCACGTGACCTTCAGGGGGTCACGTGGGGTCACGTGACCTTGATATGACCTTGGGAGGGGTCACGTGACCTTGGGGGTCACTTGACCTTGGGATGACCTTGGTTACGCCGACGCCGACGCCGACGGCGACGGCAACGCCGACGCCGACGGCGACGCCGCTCAAGCCGGGAACGGGCCCCTAAGAGCTGCGCTCTAAAACACACAAAAAACCATCAACAGCAGATAAATTGACGTTTTACGAAATCAAGGTGAATAAAATAAGACCGACGAGGACGAGAATGCCATTCGAACATTGGCGGGACACTTGTGCCCAGTTTGTGCCCCGTGCTCATCCAACACTATAACTAGAGTAGCAATTAACCCCGTACACTGGCACTTGGACACGGACATTACGTCCGTGTCCAAGACACGGTCCGTACACTGCGTGTCCAAGACACGCAGTGTACGGGACACGGACATTACGTCCGTGTCCCGTACACTGGCACTTGGACACGGAGATTGGACACGAACATTACGTCATCGTTCGGCAGGGCCTCGTGTCCAATCAAGCGCGTCCAAGGACGCCCGTCGTCGGCCTCGGGCATTACCACCTATAGACCTTTTCCACAAGGGCGCCGCCATCTTGAATTGACGTCACTTCCAGTATGGACGAAAACGTAACTTTGCCGTTGCCACGCCAATAGAAGACATTTAGGATATAAGCCTAACCGTCACACATTCTCGTTTTGGCTCGCCTCTATTTTTTTACTAGTTACAGGTTGAAACGTTTTACTTTTTTTTCGTCGCCCATACTGGAAGTGACGACAATTCAAGATGGCGGCGCCCTTGTGGAAAAGGTCTATACAGGAGACGAGTGGCAAGCACGCCGAAAATCGAAACGAGAGCATACGGAGGGCAAGTTCGTCTGCTTCTATTGGCAGGGGTGGCGGTGACGTCAGAACGACGCTGAGCTCTGATTGGCTATCGAGGCAGCTCGCTTTGAGGTTTACCCACTATCCTTCCAATCGGAGCCAATCAGTGCTCGGCGTCGTGCTGACGTCACCACAACCCCTGCAAAAAGAAGCAGACGAAACTTGCGCTCGGTACAGGCGATGTGAGGATGAATGTTTGGCGCGGCAGGATTGACTCGATGGTAAAATGAGCGTCGGGTGGGGTGGTGCTTGGAGTGAAGCGGAAAACATAGTTCCGGCCTTGGGAAGTGCTTTTTCGGTGGTGCCTTACCTGTTCCGCTTTCTCATGTTCTCGGCGTGCGGCGAGCTGATGTACTCTGCGACGATCTGTTTCCAGCGTCGCCGACAGAGCCAGCCGCGAAAGAAACTCTGCACCTGAAGCAGACGGAGCGGCAAGTTTTTGGTCAAGATGCTGTCACGGGGAGCTTGGAGTCGCATATACTATCTAAAACGTACCCCGGTTCTTAAAAAAAGTGTTGTTTTTTTGTAGTTGAGTGTTTCTGTATCGGGGGGAAAGTCCGTGCCTTGTGCGCCAGAACAATGGGCGTGATGAAAAGGTAAGAACGACAGGCGAGAGAAAACAACTGTAAAGGCAGCGCCGCACTGGAAGCGGAATGACATCATAGACCAGGGAGTGGTGCACGATTACGCCAGAGCCGGGAGAAATGTGTGCTTCTGTTATCCGTGCATTCCCGGTGGCACGTAACGCTGTGTTACGTGACGCTGAGTCGAGAAATGTCACATTGCTCTAACTTCAGGTGATGTTACGTCGCTTGACCACGTCGTGTGACGTCACGCTGTGACGTCATGGTATCGCGTGACGTCCCGATTTTAAACCTTAACATGACGTGAAGTTTAATGTTTTGTGAACAAACATAAACCACGTCTCCTTAAATGCTGCATTGCATGTATTTATAGGACCTTGAAGATAAAGGGTACGTCGCTGCCCATTTCGTAGTTATGGCGTCTTCTTGACATGTATTCGACGATGCGTTTCATCATGAGTGATGCCATGTGCAATATTTAGAGCTTAAACGACCCAAAAACGTTTGATATTCATAACTGCTTTAAAGGGAGACTGAACTTCGCCAAAACCTTTTTGTTCAATGCTTGGAAAGGATACACATGTTATAAAATGAGCTCCCCCGCCGCGTTAAGAAAAAAATAAAACAAACAAACAAATAGCACGTTACGTCTTGAGACATATTTTCAGTTAGGAGCGATTCTGATATTTCGCAAGGTCGACTCAAAATAGAAGCTTGCTTCAGAATGACTCCTAGGAACACTGAACTCCGTAATATATAATATTTTTAAAATGTCTGGACGGAACACGCATATCGCGCAACAGGGTTTCCTCGAAAAGAAACAATAATTACCGCAATATTTACGACTCGAAATTCATTTTGAGTCAGAAGAATTTTTAAGACATGCAACAATTTTGGCACGTCGTTCCGAAACAGAAGCAAGTAGGGGCACGCCGCAAACTCAAAATAAACCTCGCGTCTTAAATTTTTCACATTTTTTGTTTCGTACAATGAAAGCGGGTTTTCTTTGTTACACAAACCGCTATCTATGCACTTAGAAAAAAAATAGTTCAGAGTATTTTAAAAGAAGATATTACTTACTTTTTTGATTTTCTTGATCTCTTCGCTGTCCTCGTCCTCGCTGCGGTTGGGGGTCAGGCGCCACTCCTTTTTCAGCGCGCACAACTGCACGGCATGGGCCAATGGGACCAATCAGAAGGAAGGTCATTGCACCGCCTCACACACACACTCCTCGCGCGTGTCACAAAAGAAGAAAAAAATAAAAGGTTAAGCTGGACCCAACAAACTGCCCAACAAACGGCATTTGTTGGGACTCAAACTGGACCCAACAAATGCCGTGCACGGCAAAAAAAGGTTGCATGCATTAAAGAGAAAGAAATAAAGAGAGAAGGAAAGAAAGAAAAAACAGAAGATTGGTGAAAGCTTTGGGTTGCTCGCGTTCGTATTCCGTGAGGAAATCAACCACGCACACAGCACGGCTTCCCTCCTCGACTCCTCCTTTTTTATTTTTGGGAGGTTGGGGAGCGACAACAACATTGGAGGCCAGCAGAGCGGATGAATGGTTGTCCGGACTCATGAGACGTTCACGCTCGTAACCTCTGTCCAAGTCTGGAATTTGAGTGTAACCTTAATCTGGACGAAGAAAGAAAAAAAAAAAAGAACAGAACATGTTTTATGGCGAAGCGGTACCGGAGGAAACTTCCATGTCCGATTACCGAGCAAAGCATCTGTTGAGTCCTATTGAGCCCATTAACCGCACTTTGAAAGGAAATCTGTAATATTTATAATAGGCTTTTGTGTTTTCAGATAAAACCCCCATCGGCGGATTTATCCGAAGTGGGAGAAAACAACAACAACAACAAAAGCCTGACTGGATTTTTCTTAAGAAGCGGTCTGCGCATTTGCAGGCCCTCATCACAGGGCGGCGAAAGCTCGAACTACATTTGACGCCCAAAAGAGAAGTTGCATTACCCCTCCTGCCTCTTCCGCAACTCGTCTGAGTCGCGGAGGAGGCAGGGGAGGTAGCGCAACTCCCATTCCGAACGCCAACCGTAATTCGAGCTTTCGCCGCTCGATGTCGTCTTTATGTTGAAAAGGTCTAATGGAATTTGTCCTTGACTAAGATAAACCATCTTTATCTACAGGCGTGTTTTGGATTGACACGGGTCACAGCTGCCACTGAACAGTCCACGAAGCCATTTTTTGTACCCTCCCTTTACGTCGGTTTTTTTCGTCTTTTTTCTTATCGTTACTGGGACCTGACGACTTTTCGGAACCGCGACAAGGACTTGAGGAATCAATTGCCCGTGTTTTGGTCTCTTCAACATCAAACTCGATTAACTCCGATTTATTGTCTGACACTGAAAAGTGACACTGAAAAGTGACACTAAAAATACCAATCTCCATAAAAAAAAAAAACATCAAAAGTCTTCGAATTAAAAAAAGAAAAAAACAACAACAGCCGAGAAGTCGTTTTTTTTTAATCAAATATAGAACAGTCTCTCAGACGAGCTAGAACACGCCAGCACAATCGTCTCATTTGTCGACGGAATATTGTTGCAATCAAATGAAGCTTCGTCCGAGTCGTTTGTTAATTCTCCCTCGACAACTGAATTAAGCATACGACGCCGCCCATTTGTAGCAAAGTGAGCGGTGATTTTTTAATGCGTTCCGGTTACTACTCTCGTCCGAATCTCTATTCTTTATTTTTCGTAAAAATTCAGGTGGACCTATTCGCCGTGCATGCTTGATTGACTGGCCTGGGACTGGCGCAGATACACGACTTGGCAGATTTGTTATAGTCGCCGATAACTTAAGAAACGTAGAGCGTGTGGGACCCTGGGATGGCAGCGGAAGCTGATAACGACGCCGTAAAACGAATTAGGCCGAAAAACGAATTAAGCGGAATAACGAATTACGCCGAATAACGAATTACGCCGAAAAGCGAATTACGCCGAAAAGCAAATTACGCCGAATCACGAATTATGCCGAATAAGGAATTACGACGCAAAAAACATAAACGTGGTGAGCCATATGCCCTGGGCTCCTTAAGCTCTCAGAGACTACAGTAGCACAGCACGCTGTCCAGCTTTGTTGTCCCCCGCGTCTAAACGGTGTGACCAAAGTATGCAAAATAGCGATTTAAATTTTTTTTGTTACTAGTAACCGAGAAGACGGCGGCAAAAACAAAACGATACGCAAAAAGGTACGCAGTACATTTCTTCATTACTTCAGTCTGAGACATCTGGAGCGTATTCTTTCCCGCAAAACATAACGAAAATCCAATCGCTGAAATCTACAGTGAGCTTCGTGGTGAATGATTGCAACAAAAATATGCTCGAATCTATAAAAAAAAAAAAGCCAACACGGCCTGCAAGTTTGTCTGCTTTGTGTTTGCTCTCCAGATGAGCCCATGTGCTTTTGTTTCCCCTGACCTCTCAAGCAATGATGGCGCGAGCCATTGTCCGCCACGTCGTCGCCTATTATCTCTGTCTGACGTGTCCCCCATCTCTGCGTGCCGCTGCGCGCAAAGCGCATTTTAAAGCACTTGCTCGCCGTTTAGTCACGCACGGAGTAGCGAGTTTCTCACTATTGCCGTGATATCCTAGGATATCCCTAGTGAAATATTTTGTATATATGTGTATGGCAGTAGTTTGGGATGTGAGACGAGATCAGACGTGTTTGAAAAGTATAAAAAAATTACATCTCTTTGTTCGACGTGAGCGCGTTGTTGAAGTTGAATAAAAACACCCTCCCAGCCTGGATGTTCCAAGAAGCACGGCACTAACTTCGTTCCCTGTGCGTCGGGGCGCGTTTACACCATACCTTTGTCTTGTGGTGCGGAGTACATCGGCCAGACAGGGCGCTGCATTAACCACAGGCTACGCGAACATGAGAAAGAGGTCGGAGGGAGGGAGTCACAACACCCGATTTCTGTCCGCAATAGGGCCTGCTCCTCATGTCGCCCTGGATTCTCTTCGGCAAGAATCCTAGGTTCTAACGGAGGTCTCTGCGGCCGAGAGATAATCGAGTCCTACGCGATAATGCACGCATCCCGAAATGTCTCGGCGCCCTCTCTTTCTTTTTCCACGAAAGACGCGGCCTACCTTCGCCCGCAGTTGATGGCCTTGACAAGAACCCCGCGGGCCTAAATCGTCCGTCCCGTGATGTCGTTTCAAGCGGCTTCGCTTCTTTGCGGCTTTTCTCCTGGCCTTTCTTCTTCCCCGCGAGAAATATTCCTGTCTGAGTCACCTTTATCCACTCCCAACCACCCCTCACCTTTCCATGTTCCCGCTTTTCGCCCTCCCCCTTTCCGTCTCTGGGTCTCTTGGGCCGGGTGCCGGTGCCTAATAAAGCTATTTGTTTTGAAAGTCGAAAGAGGAGCTGTTCTGTCCGTCCCTATGTTTATTCTTTCTGTTTTTATTTACAACTCTTTGTCACCTATTACTTATTGAGCTGGCTAAAGAATGCACAACCTCTGTTAGTTGTTTGACTATGATAGTTCTCCTAAAACCACGTTGACATACGATTATAATATTATTCATTGCGATAATCAAAGAATACAAAGGCACATCGTCTCATTACATAATAATAATAATAAAAAAAAATAAAACGGTCGGCACGGCTCTTTAGGTTCTTGCCCACTGGTGAGGCTCACCTCTGCCCTGAGTTTCTTGATCTCGACGGTGAGCTCCTCGCACTGCTGAGTGTACTGCCACTTGGCCGTCTTCTCGCTCTCCACGATCTGGACCAGGTGCAGGTGCTTCTGCTCCAGTTCTTCCTTCTGCAGCAGCATCTTGCTGAAGCTGAACAAGAGAACACAAAAAAACAGCAAACACACACACATTCATTTCGGGTCCGCCTTAAACGAGCGCTTCGGAACCGTGCTGTTGAAAAAGTCGATCGTGCAGCGATAAGGCACACCGACGCCCTCCCTATTCGCGTCTGCAGCTCGACGCTCGCCCTCCCGCGGCGGAAATGGGAAGCGCTTTAGTGAGGGTCCCTCGATTCTCCTGCTTAGCGGGCACGGCGGAACTGCTCGGCATCATGGCTCGCGAAATGTCATTTCCGAACGCAAACAACACTCTTCGCTGCACCAACGTAGTGTTGCAGCCGGTATGGGATTGTTCCTTTCTGAAGAGTTTTAGTATTGCCCATAGAAGCAAACGCAAGCGGTGGGCGTTTGCGTTCGAGTTGCGTGCCCCACGTTGTGCGTGCCCCACGTTGTGCGTGCGCCTCATCGCCATGCGCCATCCAAGACCGCAATTTCTGGCTGCCTGCACGCGAAGTGTGGAACACGCAAAGCTAACGCAAACACACATCACTAGCATTCGCTCGTATACGCAATACTAAAACTCACTACTGTACGACATCTTGTAAACCCTGAGATGGGGAACGATAAAAAAAACGGGTTTACAAGAGGCCGATTAATTACCAGCTCTCCTGTACTCTATCACTGCACTCTATCACTACTGTTTCACCGGCTTCCAGTGCCAACGAAACGTGCTGCAGTGAGCAGACGTGCAAGCAGGTAGGGGTTCCTCAAAATGGAAAGGCTGATAGGTAAAACGACGAAGCGTAAAAATGGAAGTAACTAAATGTTATGAAAAGACTGGTAATTAAAAGTAAAGGTTTTTATTTTTTATCTCTTTTTATTTTACTTTTGGGCATTTGGTCTGGAAGGATATTGGCGGCGACATTGGACGTTTTACCGATTGTCAAAAGTAGCGACTTTGATGGAAAAATATACTTTACCCACAATTAATATAATTTTACATGGATTTCTCACATTAGCTAGAATGTTTTAATTGATTTTAGACTATCTTTATTTTATTACTTGGTAATTAAAAATGCTGCAATTGGCGCCAGTAATGATCATTTGCACACTTTTGATTGTCATTTTGTTCGCCCGTTTGAAATTAGATCACAAGCAACAAATTATATTAGAGCTTGAAAAATTACGTATTAAAATATCTGATATTGAATATTATTATTATTAAAGGGAAGATGGGGCACTTCTACATTTGAGAAAAAACGCTTGAATTGCGTTCATTTGGCCTTTAGAATAACAGATATCAAAATTATATTTCAATGCGACGCGCCGGAGAGCCACAAGAGCAATTTCAAAATAGGGCTGAAGCCCCGCCCCCCTAGCCTTGGGCAGCCAAAAGAGCCGTCGATGACGTCACGGACAGCGACTGTCTTTCGCGTTTTTCTCGCGTTTAACAATACTTACGCAGTAAATGGTTTGGGTATTCGGGTTCACGGGGTAAAAATACACTAGAATTCACTTCTAACTAATTTTTTCCAAGAAGCTCCGTAGCTTCCCTTTAATACAAATCGTGGCAATTTATGCCCCCAATTAATGCCAAGATCACAAAAATACGCCATTTAATCATAATAGTCTTTCCAGAAAGGTATAATTTTGTTTTATTTTTAGCATATCAAAAATTCTCACATCGTTTTCAACATAGACAAACAGTCAAACACTAGATGTAACATAGATTCCTATATGCGTCACGCGTTGCTAAAACACACCCACAAACAAACTTCAGCTGTCTGACTCGGATTCCGTCTTTGGGTTGTTGCAGTGAGAACAGCGTTTATTAATTTATATATCTTGTGGACATATTGTAGAAATTAAGATTATTCTCTTATTCTTGTGCTGTGAATAATGTTAAGCCAATTAATCATCTAAATACCCCAAAAACCCACTAAAAGGCCCGCATTTCATGATTTCCCATGACAATGATCTGAGCGAGAAAAGGCAGCGAGAACGCACAAATATCAGCACTGATTTTTTTCAACTACAAACCAGGGTGTCGCACCGAACCCGAACCGGAAACCAGATTAAAACCGCTATTTTTGACCGAACCGGTACAAAACCGAAACCCAAAATCGAACGCTTCATACTGAACCCGAACCGGAACGAAACCATAATGTGATGTGGCGGTTACCGGTTCAACGAAAGCGGTTCAAGGCCAATTTTGTCAATAATTGATCTCAATGAAAAAAGTTGTGGGCGTATTTCTTTCTTATATTTCCAAGAATAATCCTAGATACTGTCAGATATTTTTAGCTTTTGTTTTTATTGCATACGTAATAAAAAAAAATGCATCACCATCTAAAGCAAAGACACAAAGAGAACGCGTGGTCAGCGAGCTCACTCATTTCCTGCCTCTACTTAGACATCTGGAGAGCTCCAACTTTACTTTGCTGCTTGGATTGACCCTGGCGGCGCGGTAGCGGCGGTGGCGATTTCAAAGCACCGCTTCGCCGCTTGGCGGCAGCCCTGAGGCGGGGTGGTAGTTTCAAGATGGCGGAAGAGACGGGGATAGATTCTCCTAGATTTCCCGTGCGCCTGCTCGCTGACGCCAGTCAGCGCGCTAAAAATGATTTATTTGTCTACAAATTCGAAGCACTTAGGGAGGGATCATATTACAGGTGACGGAGATGTTGATGCACGTTAGGAAAACGAGCATGCTGATATTTAAAAGTTGCAGAAACCTCAACTCGCGAAGCTTTGTGATGGGCGAGCGCGTTTTAGACACCTCCACTGTTTGTGGCAGAATATTTTTAAGGGTGATGAAGATATCGTGTTTGCGCTTTGTCTGGCCATTAGGGCTCTAAAAAGTGAGCCGCGCACGGTGACCGTCCAAGCTTCGGTAGACCAGCGTTCACAGTATTGATGTCTTCGTGTCACAGGCTCGCAACTCGCTTCTCACCGACTCGGTTTTAGTGTATTACAACACGTGATCAAGCTGCTCTCTGGTTATTGATCCGAAGTTTGTTACCGCAGGCTACTGTGCGGTGTAGCATTACAACCGGAAGCTCGCGCTGCGGCTTTGAAGCACACTTTTCAGCGCGCTCCAGGAGCGTTGCCGTGGTCACGGTAGCCAATGGTGGCCTGCGGTAACGCTACGCTAAAACTGCCCATTAAAACAATCGGCATATTTAGTGGTTTTATTTATTGCTATATAAAAATTTATATTTTAATATACCGTACATTTTTTGTGCCGTGGTATCTGCAACATTGCGGCTTCTCTGTCCAAAACTGCACGTTTTAAGCTCTCGTCACGAACGGCTAGCTGACACAGACGAGCCTAAAATGCTTCCAGCATTTCTTTATTTGCTTTGTAATTACCTGAAAGCATGTGCGCGTGCTCTGTCTTTTGAAAGTGTTTGAAATAAATGGTCATGTTCCTTGTAACGGCTTTAAAACAAGAACCCATTCTCGATGTGTATTGCTCAACATACCGTTGCGCAACGAGTTTTCTCCTACTTAGGTCAAAGAATAGACTTTTCCTAGACTGCACGCTAGAGCTCTACATTATTAGGTAGTTTTCTTAGGACGTTGTAGCCGTCCCGCAACGCTTTCCGCAACCCGCTACGGTACCCGGAACTCTACAGTCAAGGCTATCGGCGCGCAGGCGCAGTAGTAACTTCGTTGCGGAGGGCTTAACGGAGGGGGAAACGCGGTCTACGGAAACTCCCTATTAGCAGGAGTATTTGCCGTCACGTTGAGCACAGATTGAGCTGCGGCCATCCATGAGACAAGAAATTCGCAGCGTATGCGATATACGAAAGGTCCCTAATGAAATTAGACATCTCGGTCCTTTGCGCAAGGCTGTTGCAAGGCAGAGCACGAGAATTCATGTTTTAACTCCCTCAAATTTTTTCGTTAAAACGGCTTCACGCATCAAGGCCGACAGTCCCCGCTACCGTTTCCGCGCTGCCGCCGTTCGTCCGCGAGAGGGCGAGCGGCGGGCTGCAGTTGCGAATTTCATTTAAGAGGCTCGTTTACGACAGCCTTTCCTTGCGAAAAAATATGGTTACCGGTTTTCATTTAAATGCTCGAAGTGCAACAAACAAGTATGACGACATAGATGTATTTCTAGATTCTCTCGACCACAAGTTTGATGTGCTGGCCTTTTTAGAAACTTGGTATATTAATAGCAATGACGCCGTTCATTTTTAGGGTTATAAATGTGAGGGAGTGTGCTGTATTGATCGAAGGGGAGGAGTCGTTTTCCTTTACTTTCGCGATAACCTGCCCTACGAGGTTATACCTAAATATTCAAAGCTTAATGACTGCTGTGAATCGCTTTTCGTGAAGTGTGCTGGATCTATTATTTCTCTTATGTACCGCCACCCTTCTGGATCGGTAGCTAACTTTGTTAACTTTATCGACCAATTTCTTGAATATGTTGGTTGATTAAACTTACCGGTTTTATTGATTGGTGATCTCAATATAAATCTACTGTCCCGAAGTCCTATGTGCAGGCTTTTTCTGGATGTTGTACAGCCATTTGGATGTGAAAATGTCATAAGCTCTCCAACACGAATTACGTCAAGTTCCCAAACATTAATTGACATATGTATTACTAGTTACCCAATTCAATATGTGATTGCTGGTATTTTAACGTGTGACCTTGGTGACCACCTACCAACATTCTGTTTTTTTCTTGCCATGTATGAAAAAGAAGACAAATAATTCCGCTCAAAGAATTCCAGTTTTACAGAGATATATTAACACCGATAGGCATAAACCATTTTTATACTACGATATTGAATCTAAACTGGACTGATGTTAACAACGAAAGTAATCCTAATATATCGTACGACTTATTTCTTATTAAAATAAAACGCTGCTATGACTTGGCATTTCCATTGAAACCTGTCCGTAAGCACAAAAAGTCCAGAAAGCCATGGATAACGCCGGATCTTTTTAGAAGGATGTATAAAAGAAACCAACTCTACCATAAATTTATCGAACTAAGGGATGGAGTTTATTGGTACAGTACAA